TATTAAATTAATATAAGAATGATAAACGTAATCAAACAAAAAAAATAGTTCGACTCCGTTACGACCATAATCTGCTACAGCCGTCGTCGGTTTAGATGAATGTATACACGATGAATTATGAATTAAAAGTAAAAAAAATATTTCAGTGTGTTGAAATTAGAACAAGACTAGGGACTTAGTCAGGTAGTCTGACCTTTAAATACAAAGTCATTGCTAACAAGTAAAGGAGACCAAGTTTGTCTTCTATATAACTATTTAACAAGTTTGTCTTCTATATTATATAGTAAAGTTTTATCTGTCTGTTGTTATTTTGTCTAAGTGGAATAATATTTCTTTATCTAATATTTACAAATTAAATCTATCTAATATAACGTTTAATCTAATAAACCTAATCCAGGTGGCATGGTAACAAGAACGCTAGCTGCATTTCCTCACTGAATAGTAATGCTTAACCTTTGAGCGATAAAAGAACCAGCTCTCTTGTCACCAGCCGCGGCGTTGAATCTAGGACATGAAATTAAAAAAAAAATTATGTAAAGTTTCAACCCTGAACCTAAAATTTCAACAGCAAATGGCACGAATATAAAATCTGAACATAAAGACTCATATTTGCGCCATTTACTTACTTCAGCTGCCTTCGATGCCGCCCCGGCTCTGACCGAAGTATTCTTCAGATGAGAGGAAGCCAAAGTGTCTACACAAGGGTCAAACAAGGGCTTTGCCGCTCCCCCAAGGGATCAAAGTTAAACCTGTTATCATCGTCGCGAAAAATGCCACAGGGCTCTAAAATAGATGGAAACAAGAGCCTTACCGATGATATCGTTCAGGGAACCGTGGCGGGAAAAGCGGTCAGCACTTTTTTGACAAGAAAGCTCGTTGAGACCAAATTTTATCTACATTTACACCACTGGTGTAAGATACACACCGATATCAACTACACCAAGGGAATTGGTGTAGTTGATATCGGTGCCCCCAAACGGATTCTAACAGCAATGTGTAAGCTTTCAACATCAAGTAATGTGCCCAAGTTACTGGATTGTAAAGCCAATAACTCGATGACGCCTAGGAAACGGGCACGCTCTAAATTACTTTCTAAAGATTGAAACATATCTTTTTGTACTCTATGCACTAAAGGAAAATCACATTGTTTTTGTAGGTTCACTTCTAGTGGTATATTTTCGTTGGAGCGGATAGACAGCCAAGACAGAAGAGCAGGCAATTCTCGGCATAGAAAAGTACTGAATTGTGATTAAGGGTATTATTACATAAATTATTTACGCTATGCACGAAAGCAAAGAAGGCAGGTAGAGCGACACTAGAAATTTTCCTTACACCAATACCACCAAAACGCATTGGCAACGTAGCATGTGTCCAGCTTAATGTAATAAGAGATAAATTTAGAATGTTTTCTAGAGCTGCAAGATGAAAATGAATTTAGTTAAAAAAGTAACCGCATTTCCTGACTTGAGCGAACGAGGTACGTAAATTTAGGTGCAAGAATACAATGTCGCAAAATAGTATGCGCAATATGCGAATTTATTAGAAACAATTTGTAAGCATGATCAAAAAATTTATTTAACTTCAATTTTAAAAGTGGTTCCAAACTTGGTATTAACAACGGAGCACCTAAGAGGTAGAGATAAATGATAATAATAATAGCTTTGTCATAATATACTAGTTACTATTTGAACGTAGTAATTTAATAATGGTTTGTCAATGTTAGAGAGTGATTTGATAACAGTTTGCCAGAAATGTGTACGTTACAGTTCGCTAATGATCATTCCTTTCTAATTAGTTTCTAATGGACTTGACAGTGTAGTAACTTCTACGACCCAGTTCAAACGTATCCAGGTAATTTTCCTTTTCCAGAAATTTACAGGGTGCAACATTTCCCCTTATCCTAAGGCTATGATTCGCAGAAATGACTAATCACCTTATATTGCTCAGCAAAATTCTACCTCAGTATAGTTGAGACTACATAACAATGGAGTTGGATTTGAGTATTTTATTTCAAGGCCTTAGAATAATTGTTGCATAGATAAGATTGTTTATTTTACAAACAATAAACCGATCTGATTTTGAGGACGGTGAGACATTTATTATTGATACCGAAGATTAAAATGAACTAAGTATAATATAAATTGTTCTAATACGATTTGAAATCTGGGGAGTATCGGCTTCTATTATCAGGTGTAATATATAACATCAAAAATATTTTCTGTTATATCGGCCTTTCTTGCTTGAAAAGAGTTAAAGGCTTAATATTAGATTTTTTTGGGCGGGACGGTATTAATATTATTATTTCTTCGTTTTATTGTCAACTAACAATACTTTTTAACATGAGTACCTAACGAATTAATTAACAAACGTTAAAATTTTAGTCAATATTTTTTATATTTTTATTGATATTGTTGTTAATACTTGACACTTACACGCGACATATGTGTATTCTTTAAATAAGGTAAAGATGAAATGTCTGTTAACATTTGATTAAAATTTACCCTTTTGTTGAATCTTGTCATACCTACAGATTTATATTTATTGTTATTTTATATACCTGTATATTTTATCTACCAAATCTCTCCTTTTTTAACAGCATGCATTCATTGTCTATTTCATGGAAGATTCATTAAGTAGAGTATATGGGATCTTGTAAAATATAAGCAATTATTACCTTAATATACGTATCACATTTTAAATTACGTGATATAAATACTAAGTTCATTAACGCCTCATTGTAGAAGTCAAAGTTTAAAATTATAATGTTATTCAGATTTGTAATTAATTATTATAATAATTTCTTGTATTTACGCGATTACACATTATAAATGAAACTAATTTTACGAATTTGGTAGTATGGTAGTACCCAACCCTCTTCTCTATTGAAATTAGGGTGTTTTTTAATTTCAATAGCCTCACGAATCATCCTTGGGAGGAATCGGTGTTCTTTTGCAAGGATCTGTGGTCTATCAAACGTGATGTAGTGGTTGGGCCGATTTAGAGTGCCGAGGGTACTACCATCAGCTTGGGATCCTATCATCAATAAAATTAAATCTAAGCCCAAAAGAACCACTACTGCAAGATAAGATACAATTAGCTCCCTCTGCATAGATCGGACACAAAATCAATAATACAAAAACTGACGGTAGCCCGGGATAACTTTGACAATCAGACGTCTAACACCTCAGTCTGTCCCGTGACCATGAACGCTGTAAAGGGTTCGAAACATCGGGAAATTAAATTAAAAATAAACGCGATAAATCCGTAAAATTAGTTTCATTTATTAATTATTATGTAAAGACGAGATGATTAAAAACTAATTAAGATAGATACAACATTAAAAAATACGCGTGGAAAAAAATATGCCATTAGGCACAGCTGGTTCGAATATTCTGTGATTATGTTGAGAGGATAATTGTTATGATTTCAAGACATCGTTTTAAATTAATTTCGATCTGCTTGTTCAATCCACGTATTTAGAGTTCAAGGATGGTATTTGTGTATCGAAATAATGATATACATTAATTACATTGATTACAATAACAATTTTACAATGCCACTCTTATATATATTTAATCAAGCTTTGTTGATAAAGACAAAGCTTATATGAAAGTCTTCCAATGTCGGACAGATTTAGAACTGTTTATAGAAGAGACTCTTATGGCACTGTAAAAACGGTTTATCATGTTTAAGGTTATAAAGATCAACTAGGTTATATGTATCATAATAACTATCGCAAAAGTCCATCGCAATTATGAAATTGAATTTTTGGTTTATTTCTCGACAAATAGACTTCTTTTAAGGAAGGTCGCGACTGCTTCTTGTTCTTCACTACGTTGGGAAAATTTTTTTGCGCGTTTATTTCTTCACGTCGTGACTTACATCTTAAATATGATTATAACAATACCGGAATAATATAAGCAACAATTAAAATAAGTTATAACAACATCTAAACAAACTATTCAATGTATTATGTTTTGCAGTATTGCCGGTTAAAAACCACACAGACCGAATTGCGTTATTAATGAATCATTGGATTCCCTCTTATGTTGCAACTCTGGAGTTCTTTGAACACTCGCGGAGCGGAATTAGATGACGCATTTCGCATTCTTCGAAGAAAAAAGTACACCAGACTTAGGCGTTTTAGCGAATGCAGTTTAAAAGGTAAAATAAAACCGTTTAAAAACTTTTAAGTTAAACGGTTTTATTTTATGTGCACTGAAAACTACAATATTGTATTGTCATCTAAATTAAATGGGTGTACCAAATTTCAGATCAATCTGACAACGGGAAGGTGCTTAAATTTCAATTTCTAATTTTGACCCAAATAAATAAACAAATTCCGTACGGGTCGAGCTAAATAAAAACGTTTAAAAAAATCAACTGGTTAGCGTTTTTGAAGTTTAATCGATAATAAAGAAACTCTCTTAACTCTTAACATAAACAGGGAAGAACGGATAACCTATTAAATACGAAGAATATTTTTCATCCAAGAAATACCAGTGTTGCCGTTATTCATTAAAAGTAAAATGTTAACTTTAACAGCGAAGACAAATTTAATTTATATGCAGAGTATCACTGATAGAACACGATGAAAACTAGTATTAAAAAAGTAAAATGTGACAGAGCAACGAACTGGCGATTGATTGAGTCTTTATTTTTTAGTGAGACTACAGATCTCGAATGCAACGAAATACAGGCTGTGGCGCTGTGAAACATTTCACACGTGCTGGAGGTGAAAACGTCTGTGTCGTACGTGACTCAAATCATCTACAACTGACCTGAAAGCGTTTCACTAGTAAATATCTTGACTCTTTTAGGATGGCATTGAACCGCATAGTGACCCTGTGACTTTTATTAGAATAATAAACCGTTAAAATTCAACACGACTCTATTACCGTTATCTTAATCAAGTCGGAAGTGGTCGTGCAGCATTACAAAGGGCGATAAGCGTCGTTAACCGACGTCACGTGTTATTTAAAAGTGAAACAATAACTCACCAGTCCTTGTATTCTCGGAAACATTTTTGATTTCTTTTCCCCTCTTCGTTTACCCGCCTGCTCTAGCCGAATCACAGATCACAAAAATCACAGACCGTACACACAAAATTTTTCAGAGGCGTCACAATTCTCGTACGTATCACAAACACGAGCGATTCGCGTACAGCGTGTATAAACAAAACAAGCGTCAGGTGTACCGCAAGGCTTGGGACCGCTACTATACAATCGTGCGCACGATTCACCGCTTTCGGCGCGTCTGAACACACTGGCAGTTCATTCAGCGCCACCGCAGCACAGATGATTCACGCGCGGCCAAAAAGAGGGGAGTGTTATCCTCTATCTTTTGTTATCTTCATTGCTAATATTCTGCTAGTAATTATTAAAATACGTCATTAAGAGGAATAGTGATGTAATGTTTACATTATTAGTAATTTACCTTTTCAGTGATTAATTTCTCTTTCTGTTATTGTTATTTTTGTCAAGTTTCGTAACGTTAACCACTGGTTATTACAACCTTCATGGCAAGTTGTCATATTTTATTAAAGGCCAATTATTAAAACATTTTAAATAATGTTTGTTTTTTTAAAGATATTAAAAACTTGCTTTAAAGCATCATCTTTGCTTTCAAATATTACATGGTAAAATATTATCTGATCCGAAATGAGATCCTGAGCTTCGAGAAACAAGTTTGCAGTTTATGATCATGTTTAAGACCACTACATTAGATTTGACAAACCGAAAATCCTTGCAAAAGAACATCGATTCCTCGCTAGGAAGATCCGCGAGGCTATTGAAATAAAGAAAAATCCTGATTTCTTTTGATTGATTGAAGTTAAGAGGATGGGTTTATCATAATATGCTTGGGATACCATAATTTATAAAATTAAATTCAAGCACACCAACATTGCTAGACTTCTGCCACAAGCTCTTTTTGCGGAGATCAAAATAAAATAACTAACAAATTATTGACGGTAGCCCGGGTAAATTTAACATCAAACCGTTAACTCAATCTGTCCCACACAATAACAAATAAAATTAAAATCCATAAACTAGTTTTAAAACAAATACAATTTAAAACTAATGTGGTAAAAAATCTCGTGGTACAATCGTATAAAATTTTTTTTATTATAAAGTATTGTCACTTACATGGCGACATAGATTTCTGTAATATTCATCGTATATACTATTTAAGGAGGTGAAAATCTTTATAAGCGATAAATAAATAAGCTAAATGAAGGGATCAGAAAAAAAATACCGTTGCGGCGCTCTGACAAAGAGTTAGCGTGATTCAAACACTTTGACCTCCCATGCAAACACGTCACAACGAGGAAAAAATCGTGACGTGCCTGTGGAGTTACACAATGCATGCCCTTTCCGTGCGTTCCTCCATGTTCGTTATCGCGTTTGATAGTGATATTTCCGGGTGCGGGTGAAGTTTTAACGGTCAGTTCCCGTATGCCCAAATAAAGGCAAACGCGTCGCGTCAAACGGCAACGGGGGTAGAGATGTAATGTAGTCACTTGTGGCAAGGGAAGCCCGTGATTTGAGATGATTTATTTATAGTACATGAAATTTCAAGGAAACTGATAACCTACTTAGCGTGATAAGTTATTCGATGAGCCGGCAACCCTTGAAAGAGAGAACAGAAGCTTTTCTTAGAAGTAATGATAAGCTATATAAAGCAAGAGCAAAGAGAGCAGTAAAAAGCCCTAAACACATTTTTCTTAAAGAGGTAGTCATTCTTCCACCCAATCCTTTTATAGGTATGCATTTCTTTTATGCACAAATTATGGAATCCGTATTTTCAATTTGCTCTACACTTGATTAGAATTTGAAGATTACTACTATAATTAATATAATTCATTCATTAATTACATTTATTAATTTCGTTAGAAAATTGTAAATTATATAATTATATCATCATTATAATTAAGATTTAATTAATTGTAACTCAATTTTTTTCTTAGAGTACAGAATGATGTACGTTTATATAAATTAATATTCAAAGAATTATTAATTATTTGACTTTTAATTTATAGACTGTAGAGTAAAATTTTGACGGTAGGCGAATGAGTACGAATTGTCTTTAGGTGATAAGTTAGTTGCCGTTTGAGAAACTCTTAAAAAAAGTATCTTTACTGAATACTGTATGTATGCAAATGCATCGGTGCAATAAGTAACGGGAATAAATAATGAGAACATGTTTATTTTTTTTTAATAACGATTTTGAAATTTCACAAGTTCTATAAATGTATCTAATATATATATAATAATTCTAAAAGTGGAATTTAATACTATTTTTACTCCTAAGACAGTCAAACCTAAAAGCTCTGTAGTTTTCAATGAATGGGCAACAGTCGGAATTCGTAATAGTAGACGTAGATTGTATGAACTTTATAGTGAAAGGACATACAATCATAGTCAATGTTTTGTTTCTAATGTTAGTGCCTACTCTAAAATATTTAAAAAAGCTTGTTATACTGCTAAATCTCTATATATTAGGAATAAAATAAAAAATGCACCTGATAGAATCAAAATGACTTGGAAAATAATTAATAGCGAAACGGGAAGAGTCACGAAGCGCAAATCTGACCTAATGTTAACTAATGATAATAATTCTATTAACTCAAATCAACAGGCTGCTAAATTCTTCGAGAAATTTTTCGTTGACATTCCAGTTTCAACAACCAAGTCACTTCTTTCCTCACCGACAGTTGCTGAGTCATTATTAAAAAAGAATGTTATGGAATGTAAAGTCAACTTTAAATTTACTACCGTAAACAAGACAGTAATTGTTAAAACTTGGGGGATCTCGGTTAAGGTGATCAGTTCTATTATTGATGTAATATCACCTTACCTAGCAATTATTTTTAATATTTGTATCAATCGTGGCGAATTTCCTGACCTTATGAAACATAGTAAAATCATTCCGGTGTTTAAATCTGGTAGTACTTCCGACCCCAATAATTTTAGACCTATCTCTGTACTGCCAACTCTTAGTAAAATTTTTGAAAAAAATCATGTTGAATCAAATGTTACAGCATTTTAGCTCTCATAATTTATTACATAACAAGCAATATGGGTTTACTAGGGGTCGCTCAACAACTGATGCGGGTGTTCAGCTCGTTATGAATATTTTTGAAGCCTGGGAAAAGTCGCAGGATGCCTTAGGAATATTCTGTGACTTAACCAAAGCTTTCGATTGTGTACAGCATGTGACCTTGGTCAGGAAACTAAGCCACTATGGTATAAGAGATGCCGCACTCAATCTTCTGAAATCGTACTTGAGCCATCGAATTCAGAGAGTTGACGTGAATGGCAAGAGATTTCCCGGGGCCTTGGTATATATGGGGTCCCGCAGGGATCTATTCTTGGGCCTTTTCTCTTCCTCATTTACATAAATGATCTACCTTATCTTGTTAATAATAATCATGAGATAGTATTGTTTGCGGATGATACCTCTTTAATCTTTAAAGTAAACCGACGTTCTTTAAGTTATGACGATGTAAACAATACTCTATCTACTGTAGTACATTGGTTTAGTGCTAACAATTTACTGTTGAATAATAAAAAAAAACTAAATGTATTAAATTTACAACTTCCTCCAATGTTAAACATGTAAAAACTGATGTACTTTTATATGGGGAAGCGTTGGACCCTATTGACTCAACTGTATTCCTTGGCATAACTATTGATGCCAAACTGCAATGGGGCCCCCATATTAATAGACTGGCGAGTAGACTTAGCTCAGCAGCTTTCGCGGTCAAAAAAATAAGACGGTTAACTGATGTTGATACGGCTCGCTTGGTATATTTTAGTTATTTTCACAGTATAATGTCTTATGGCATTCTGCTTTGGGGTAACGCGGCCGACATTAATACAATCTTTATCTTACAAAAGAGAGCTATTCGTGCAGTTTACAATCTGGGCCCCAAAGAATCGTTAAGAAACTTGTTTAAAGAGATAAAGGTATTGACTGTTGCTGCTCAATACATTTTTGAAAATGTTTTGTATGTCCATAAAAATAAGGATAAATTTTTAAGACATAATAATGTTCATGATATAAATACTAGGAACAAAAATAAATTGATCCTACCCACAAGTAGACTCCGTAAAATAAGTAAATCTTTTATGGGACAATGTATACGTTATTACAACAAAATTCCAGAAAACGTTCAAAATGCATCAATAGCTAAATTTAAAAAAAAATAGTAAAAGAACGTTTGTGTGTTAAAGGCTACTATAATATTAATGATTATTTAAATGATAACACACTCTGGTAATGAACTGATCGCTCCAGGCTCTTTCAATCGGAGTTCTTATATTGTATTTTAACGAATTTATGTCAAACTGCTTATTTAAAAAAAAAAAAAAAAGCCCGCTGAGTTTCTTTCGCCTTCTTCTCAGTACAGTGGCTTTCTTTTCCGAACCGGTGGTAGTGTTTTGACTATCAATAAGTGAGTGTAATGCTCCTATGTTGAATAAATACATTTGATTTTGATTTTGATTTTAATCACTTCAAGGGATTAATACCCAAAATACGTTTATATGTTTTCCTCTGTTATATTGATTATTTTACAATGTAGATATCACCTATTTATTTGATAGTGATGTTTGTGCAAGTCTTGTTTTTAGTGTTTCGCTGTACACAATTGATAAATGTAGGTACGAGTAATCCAGAAACTGTTTCCGATATATTTTGTATAATACAAAATCAAATTACTTTAAAGCACCAGATAACGCGCGTTCTTTTTTGTTGTCAATGTTGATTTTAATTTGTTTCGATTATTTGATCATATAAATCATCGATATCCGCAATAGCGCTAACACGCTGTATGTCTCAATCCACGATCGAAAAATCGATAACCTACTTTTTGAGGAATTACCGCGGCTTTATTGTTCGATCGATATTATTGATTTATATATTATATTATATTATGTTATTGATTTTTGTTACGTATTGAGGAAACACAAAGCTATCGGTATCTTCGAAATCTATATCGACCCCAATACTGATCGTTTGTTTAAGTGGCGATAAACTGCGAATTTAACTGATAAAATGATGATAAGTTGGGTTATAAATATTTTATGTTTAATTGGAGTGATGGAGAATGTAACCCAAAATACTATCATAAAAGATATTTAAGCGAAATTTTAAGTTATTTTTCTTTTGTTATGTCAAAGAATTATAAGTTACCTGCGTACACGTTTTTTTTATTTCGTCATTTAAACTCGTATGTAATATAAATGAAAGTAATTTTACGGATTTATCGCGTTTATTTTAATTTTAATTCCCGACGTTTCGAACCCTTTACAGCGTTCATGGTCACGGGACAGACTGAGGTGTTAGACGTCATAGTTAACCCAGGCTACCGTCAGTTTTCGTATAATTAATTTTGTGTCCGATCTATGCAGAGCGAGCTAATTGTATCTTGTCTTGCAATAGTGGTTCGTTTGGGCTTAGATTTAATTTTATTGATGACAGGATCCCAAGCTGGTGGTAGTACCCAACCTTCTTCTCTATTTAAATTAGGGTGTTTTTTAATTTCAATAGCCTCGCGAATCATCCTTGGGAGGAATCGGTGTTCTTCTGCAAGGATCTGTGGTCTATCAAACCTGATGTAGTGGTTGGGCCGATTCAGAGTGTGCTCACAAACTGCAGACTTGTTTAATCTACTTTGTTTTATGTCAGCTATATGTTCTTTCACGCGATAAATCCGTAAAATTACTTTCATTTATAATGTGTAATCGCGTAAATACAAGAAATTCCTATGTGATATATTGAACCAGATTACACTCTGATTGTTGCCTTAATGTTCATTGCATTCGAGCAAGTTGATATGAAATCACATGCAGTGATATCAATATATTAAACTGCTGAACAGGCATCGATTAAATTGCTTAGAGCAAATTAAGTTCTGTTTTACGAACTCTATAAAATCATTTAAACCCCAATGCTACTCTAGTGGATGCCGAGTGGTCGAAATTCGACCATAGTTAATTTAAATTATAAGTTTGAACAATATTAATTTTCTCAAATACATGACAAAAATTAAAAATTAAAAATTAAACAGTATATTATATATACGTGTGTCTGTGTCAAATACATGGTAATGTGTGTAATGTTTTCTTATATTGATTTAATGTATTTTTTATGCACCATTAAAAAAATCTCCTTCATATAAACTAATTATGTTTATATAGAGAATAACTAAACTATAATTGTGGAAAATTTCACACATCTCCGTCCGGGCAATTTTCGCAAAAAGAGGTACAAAGTTTTTGTTTCACGTATTCATATAGTTATGTATATTCATATAGTCATATACATATTCTCAAAATGAGTGACGAGTATGAGCAATTGACGAGTGATGTTTGTTTCCATTTCTTTTAATGTGAAAAGTTGCCAAACGAGCAGACGGTTCACCTGATGGTAAGTGTATACCGCCGCCCATGGACATCTGTTACACCCGAGGGTTACAGATGCGTTGACAACCTTTGAAAATTGGGATATCGCAAATCGTCAAAATTTCAACACACTTAACGTTATATAATTACTAGCTGATCCGGCAAACGTTGTTTTGTGGAATTTCATAAAATCCGTTCTTAGCTGACCTCTACTCAGACCTACCAAATTTCAAGTCTTTACGCCTTATGGTTCCGGAGATATCGTTATGAGTCAATTATCGGTGAAAATTTAGATGCATATATATATAGAGAAGATTATTTTCAGGTATTCAGAAAATAAACAAGTGCGAGTCGGACTAGAGCACGAAGTGTTCCGTACAATTGTCTATAAAAACGGCAAGAAATCATATTTGTTGTATGGGAGCCCCGCTTAACTATTTTTATTCTGTTTTTACCTTTTTATTTTTTTATTTGTTGTCATAGTGGCAACAGAAATACATCATGTGTGAACTTCAACTGTATATCACAGTTGATGAGTACAGCCTGGTGATAGACAGACAGACAGAAACAGACAGAACGTTAGATAGCGTAGTCTTAGTAACAGGGTCCCTTCGAGTACGGAACCCTAACAACGAAGTTACGGTTAGCTCAAACTCACTCGGCGCATAATACGGAATATATCGATAGATAAAACAATCCACTTATGAATGATGACCGGGTCATGTGTATTATATCGAGCCATTACCCTTATCGCCACCTTATCGTGCTTCATAACGATTTCGACACGAACTTCGATATCTACATAAACGCTGCTTTGGGTCGAGGCGTCTTCTTGATTGTCGTGTGGCGTCATCACAACGCAGTCGCCTAGGAAATAGCGTTAGTTGATACAACGATGCATGTTTTATAAGGATGCAGCAAGATAAAATTGTCGACCTAATAAAAAATATATATCGACCCAATTAGCGTGGGGAGTAGTGACCTGCCTCCTGCGCCAGAGGGTGTGGGTTCGATCCCCACTACTGGAAAAATATTGTGTGATGAACATCGTGTTTTTCCAGTGTCTGGGTGTTTATATATATATACATAATATGTATTTATTTACAAAAGAAAAGTATGTTTAAGTAGGTTTATCAGTTTTCTAGTACCCATAGTACAAGTGTTGCTTAGTTTGGGACTAGGGAATGTTGTGTAAGAAATATGTCCGAAATATTTATTTATATAGATTTTTGTTATATAATGATAATAAAGAGCGATCGTGTGAGTTCTTCTTCTATGCAGTGTTGTCAAAGAAAAAATTATACAGTTTTTATTAAGGCGTTTATAAAGTTTGCAATACATGCACGTAAACAGTTTATAAATTACTTATGTGCATGTATTGTACAATTTTATATATTTATGAATGATGTTCAGTGGATATATATCAATGCATTATTGTTGTTATTATTTGGTATTTATGATCATTTTTTAGCTTATTGCACGTACCATATCTCTCCACGCCCCGAGTTGACTGGGAGAGAAAAAATAGCATTGACTTTTGTACTTCTTTTTTTAACGGTTTTGCTATAAAGAATAAATAAATCAATAGATAATCAATTATTGCCTTAACTGCTTACAATCGATGTTACATAATTATTTGTGTCAACAGTTAGACTATTTCGGACGTACACTAAGAGAACTCTAAATAAAATAATCAAAGTATTATTTGGTTCTACAATAATATTCATTTAAATTATAAAAACAATTATCGTTCTTATACTTTAATTTTAAACTGTTCACCGTCAAGCGATTTTATTAATTAGGGTAAATTGTTACATATCTTAATACCAGTAATGTAAGAACTAAGTGGTGGATTATTCTTAAACAAAGATTAAATATCAAATCAAAATTAGTGTGTCTATGTGTTACCAAGCATAATGTCGTGAGCATTTTATCTTTAGATCCGAAAGACAGTGATATTACTAGTTAGAAATCTTCAAAGCGGAAAATTATTTGGTTCTCGCTATTGGTATTCGAAGCGTGTTACTTGACCTGTAATCGAAATACCGCCTAGGCAATGAATAGTTCGATTAGTAATTTAAAATATTAATGTTTCCAAGGATTCTAGAAGATGACAGACTCCAAATATTGGTAGATATGTTCCTAGAATAGGTTCTACGGTAAACGCGAACACGTTTTCTCGCAACATTAATACACGATCCTATCTATTCTACGTCTAAATAACACTTCTCAGTTTGATAACATGTCAAAACAGTTTGCTTACAGTGCAAAAGTCACCAACGTTTTCAACATATCTATACATCATATACCTACTAGGTACACTCAGGTTATCACATTAATTTTAACACCGAGTTATACTGGCTCATGTACGTTGGTCAAGACGAATAAAAGTGTTTATTCGTAAAATAACATGTAAATTTCTTTTGATCGAAAAATATTTTATTTTCATTTTTACCGACTGTTACCTATAATAATACCATCTTGACCTCTCATGAGCATCTCAATGTGTAAGGCTCGGGCTCTTTTGGTCTACCGAGTTTGGAATTATAGATCTAAGAGCTGAAAGTAATAAACCAAAGCCTATTACTTTCAGCGATTAGCTCTTGCTCTTAACTCGACCAATGTAATTACCAATTTTCTTTTATCGGCATTTTTATGCGTATGAAATCTGACTTTTATAAATAACATTCTATAATTTTTTTTCAATTATCAGAAGTAGTTAAAATATAACTAGAATAATGATAAATACATATAGATAATATGTTCATTTGACATTACTGCCAATAAACTCGTTTAAAAATTATCCTGAGAGGAAATAACAAGCCAGATTTATATAATAATTAACGTTATTAAAGATAATGTCACATGACGTACCAATTTTTTTAAAATCGATAAAACTTAATAATAAATAATACCCCAACAACCAGATAGTTTCAATACGAGGCGATCGTCACATTAAATATAATATACTAGTTGATCTTACAATTTTTATTCCGTTTAGCTGATATACCAATGCTTTCCATTCGAGTATACATTCTTCAAGTGGAATAAACAAATAACTGATCCTTATAAACAGGCAATCACAGGGTTTTTATTGTTTTTGGATCACCGCCTCAGTTGCACATCTACATAGATGTATCCATACTTTTCACGCTAAACGCGAAAACCGTACTAAGAGACTCGTTCTTGGTGGCAATGACCCGAATTCCCCGCGTCTGCTCCGCTGTTACATACAAGTCGTATGTCACGTACGCACACCACAAAAACGCAGCGTGTGCTCGTACGCACATCCTTTAACGTTGCGGCGACCGGTGACCGATAAATATTTGGTTGTCTGACGCCACGGGATGTGCCCGATAGTCGGATCGATGACGCACTTCCCCGTTTCCATAGGAGTCGCTTTCATCTCATTAGCGTGGTCCCATTGTCGAAAACAAAACAATCCATGAACTGTCCATTTGTTTCGTCGATGTTATATCGATACATTTGCGTTGGTAGGCAGCAGCCTCGGCTGTTGCATGAATGGGCAGGCTCGTCCGGGTAAGTACCACGACCTCACAGAAGACCGGCGTAAAGTGGAAGTATAATACTTTCGCGTTTCGTCTGTTGAGTGAGGTGGCCGGAGCCCAATTTTCAAAAGGTTGTCAACGCATCTGTAACCCTCAGGTGTAGCCGATGTCTATAGGCGGCGGTATTCGCTTAACATCAGGTGAACCGTCTGCTCGCTTGACAACTTTTCGCATAAAAAAAACAACATTTCGTGGTGGTGACAAGTTGCTGTGTGGCGCTACCACAACTTGTTTAGCTGTGGTATTTATGGTAGCGCCACGCAGCAGCTTTTGCTGTTGCACGAATGGGCATTTCCGTCCGGAAAAGTACCGGGGCCTTACAAGATACACAATAGCAAGTATTATACTTTTTGCATTTCGTCTGGTGAGTGCGGTTCACGAGGCCAACGTTTTTGAACGTCTGTTTGGAACTTTGGCAATGTCTTTGCTGTTGCAATTGCGGGAGTTGTAGATGTTAGTGGTCGTTGGCAATCACCTTACAACGAGGGGAACACCTGTTTGTTCGTTACATTATCACATAAACAATGCCTTCATCATGTTGCGTACCATATTATTTATTTATAGAAAAAGTAAATAGACAGGAGACTGCGCTTTTTTATGATAAAAATATAAAAATATAAATGATATAAATAATAATGAGCAGGCTTAAAATAAGCTTGCGCATTATTATTATGATTTAGATGTATAGTCGTCGATACTATAGGATAAAGATTTATGTCATTCATATAATAAAATGATAAATCTGAGAATGCCTATCGATTTTAAGTTTACTGCATATTTTATAAAACTCGTTACCTTAACATTTTCGAAGCGTAAATTTTAAACTTGCTAATGAATCTAAAACCTAAATTAATATTTGAAATCTAAGCTAACATTATTAAAATAGCGTCGTAAACATGAAAAATTATGATATTATATTGATATATTGATAAATAACTTGGCAGGAGCGATAAACTTGTATTCGCAGCAAATAGTTTAAATCATTAATTATTATTAAAAAACCTATTATTGACGCCTGTAGTAAAATACACTGCAATATGCAGCTGGGATATTTGCTAATAAAATTATTTATTTTTGTTTGCTCAAACAAGTACAATATATAGTAATATATGAAACATTCGTTTAACTGCACTTATAGCCGGTTTATGAAACACTGATCAAAATGATCTTCCTAATGACCAGAATGATCAATTCAAATAGTTTAACCATCCTTTTGGCAACTCAAATGACATTTTAAATGCTGCTGATTAATTAAATTCTACCATGATCACTGTTTCAGAAACCGGGCGTGAGTGGTGTTATAACTATTTAGATTATACAAAATTAACCTTATGTCAATAATAAAAAAAGTATAATATGCTAGGCCGCTAGCTTTTAATCCACCGTTGTAGAAATAACAATATTTTCGTATTTGTATCGAATAATGTCTCAAATAATAAACCTCACTGAAAGACGCAACTCGAAGTTTGTTTTAGATACTGTAATTGAATGAAAACAAGCAACATCTTTACGGCGGAGAGGACTCATCCGTCAAAGTTATTTTATTGATCACTCTTTAGCTTATTACAATATCAACAGAAGTTTTTTAATAATACTCGACTTTCTTCTTTTGACTACGTAGTAGTTGGGTAGTTTCGAATTGGGAGTTTTAATACTTTTTTATTTTCTTCGAACAATAGAAAAATTGACAATTTGTTTCTGCTTATGAAAATATAATTTTGTAAGCTTCATACAAGTTTTGTAATAAATGTGATGAACACGATTTTCTTAATTTTTATGTGAAATATTTGGCTGCTTAGTTAGTGTAAGCCATGACAGCTTACACCTTCGTTACCTTCACCGGGTGCATTGAGGCCAATTTACTAATCCAACTATTAGTAAATTGGCCTGCATTATACATAAAACTCCATTGATCTTTCGGATATTTATAGATATTGGTGATGATTTATCACTAAGCGAACCGCTTGCTCAGGGTTCATACATATTTATGGTTCATACATTATATTTTTAGGGTTCGTACCCAAAGGGTAAAACGGGGCCATATTACCAAGACTCCGCTGTCTGTCTGTCGTTCTGTCTGTCCGTCCGTCTGTCTATTTGTTTTTCTGTCTCTCTCTCTCTCTCTCTCTCTCTCTCTCTGTGTCTGCCTTTCTGTCACCAGACAGTTCTCTGACAGATCTGTGACAGTTAGACAGGTGAAATTTTCACAGATTATGTATTTCTGTTGCGGCTATAACAACAACAATATGGCCCATATTACCAAGACTCCGCTGTCTGCCTGTCTGTCCGTCTGTCACCATCACCAGACGACGGCAGCAGTGTAATACTTCTACTTCACGCTGGTCTTCTGTTAGGTCGTGGTACTAACCCGACGGACCTGCCTATTCGTGCAACAGCGAACACTGTTGCGTGGTACTAAGTATCTCATGAACCGTGATAGTTAGAAAGTTGAATTTTTATAGATGATTTCTGTTGCCGCCATACAAAAAATGCTTAAAAACAAAATAAAAAATGTTTAAGTGGGGCACCCATACAACAGACATTATTCTTTTGCCGTTTTTACGGATAATGGTACGGAAGACTAGTACGAGTCCGACTCGCACTTGGCCGGTTTTGTGTTAATGTAGGCAAACAATACTAAGTGATAATACCTGATAGTAAGTGATCAACCGCTCTTCGGTTTTTTTTTCTTTTTTCAATGAGCTTTTTACCTAATTCCTGAATCACTCTATGTGCTCATGACGAACTTCATTCCATAAGACCTAGTATCACGATCAATTGAACATATAAATGAACTAGCTCGTTTATGAAGGATCAAATAGTTTCAATAATTACAACTACGGTACGTTATACAGCTTGTCTTTACCATCGCGACAATAAATGAACACACATATAGAGGATAACTTTTTAAAATTGTATTAAACATTTACATTCTTTAAACTTCAATATTTACTGAGTTATCAAATTTTCAAAAACAAAGAATTTTAGAACACCCTTACCTATAAAAGCGTAACGTAAAGTTCATTTGTAAAGGTCAAAAAAGCATATGAATGGGTTGAATGAATTTAAAAGAGACAAAACATACTGTTAGAAGGAGAGGCTTGTAATGCGACGCTGTGGCAACGAATGAAAAATTCTCTGAATGTATGAATCAGTCAGTTGTAGTTGTATAGGATGTTACAAATTTTGTTTCTTTTTTACTTAATTAGTTTGTTTGAAAAATATTTTTTTTAAACTATGGATTTTATTTAACGTTAATATTTTTTTATGATTATTGGCACGTAGCGTTAGACGTGTGTTCATTTATTGTCGCGATGGTAACGACACGCTGTATATACCTAAATAAATGAATATAATATACACAATTTATAATATACACAATGAGTTGATCGCTCCTAAGCTGTAACTAAAAGAAAAAAAAAATCAGTTGTGTAATATTTTAACGTTTTGGGGAAAAAATGACAAAAAAGAGGATACCTACCTTATTTCGCCCATTTCTTCTACGTTAGAGGAACCTCAATACGAAACGGTGGTAGATTTAAAAAATATACTAAAACGACTACACCTTAAAATACTACACCACTTAAAACTACCGATAGATTAAATGTATGTTCCTTACGTCGATGAATTTTGATTTTTGATTTTCGCCCAGGTGTTTGGAGCCCCTCAGGCTTGATAAGCAGCGTCATCTTCTGTTGCAGGTGAAGAGATCGATCATGCTGAAGATGGCGGACGCCTGCGCGGACAGCTCGAAGCAGACTCGCTTCCACGAGATGCACGTGCAGCGGCACAACAACGTCAGCATACTGTACGCGGACATAGTGAACTTCACGCCGCTCTCCGAACGGCTCAGCGCTTCGGACCTCGTGAAGACCCTGAACGAGCTCTTCGGCCGGTTCGACCAGATAGCCCAGGTGAGTGTCTGATACTTATACGGTTCTCGATCGCTGAAGCTAGCTCGGGTGAGTGTCTGATACTTATACGGTTCTCGATCGCTGAAGCTAGCTCGGGTGAGTGTCTGATACTTATACGGTTCTCGATCGCTGAAGCTAGCTCGGGTGAGTGTCTGATACTTATACGGTTCTCGATCGCTGAAGCTAGCTCGGGTGAGTGTCTGATACTTATACGGTTCTCGATCGCTGAAGCTAGCTCGGGTAAGTGTCTGATACTTATACGGTTCTCGATCGCTGAAGTTAGCTCGGGTGAGTGTCTATAAGGTTCTTCTTTATAGCGAACTAGCGACCCTCCCCTGCTTCGCACGGGTGCAATGTATTATACATATGAACCTTCCTCTTGAATTTTGTTTAGTATAGAAGGGGTTGGCTAGTAAGACCCAACGACCATGCGCCTTAGACAGATCTATTGTAAAACATTGCCACCGTGCCATATTGTCACCAATCTTCCGTTGGAAAATATAGCCCACTTATTATAGGATAATATTATTCTGCGCTGCAAGGACGATTGACATACATAATTTTCACGTGGTCAAACACCTAGATCCGAAATAATTATCTGGGGGTCACATAAATAGTTGTCCCATGTGCGAATCGAACCTATGATCCCAGAATCTAAGCCAACCTTGGCAACTTCACAACGGAGGCATCATTGCGTAGCAAATAGTTAAGAAACAAAGTAGGTATGTCCACGAAAATTATGTGACGCACATAGTAAATAATAATAATAAGTATTTTAGGACACAGTTTTACCCAAACTAAGCAACGCTTGTACTAAACTAGATAACTAATAAACGTATTTAAACATACTTTTCTTATGTAAGTAAATATATGTTCATCGCACAATATTTTTCCAGTAGTGGGGATCGAACCTCTGGCGCAAGAGGCAGTTTCACTACCCACTACGCCAATCGGGTTACATAATGATTCATTATGATGACCCATGTCATCAGTTTCCTTTCGTGAAACAGTTGGACAGACACGTAGAGAACAGGCAGCTGTAAAAGGAATATATTAAAACTTGCACAGTCACTCGTGGGTAGTTGTTTATTGTAGTTCATCAGGGAACCTCCAATTATTGAGCTTTTGTTGAAAATTCTGTTTACTAAGCCCGCGAATACTGATAAATGAGGGCAACTAATCCTACAGTTTGAGGTACATTATAGTTAGAGCATCGCAAATGAATACGATAGTGTGATGTATTTGTATTTTCTGTGGAATGGGTTGGGTAGTAAATACCCGCGACCTAGAAGATTTATTGTATTCTTCCCCTTCGAAAATATTGCCTCCTTACTGTAGGAAAAATTATCCTTGTTGCAAGGACGTTTTGCATACATATGTTTCACATGGACAAATACCATGGATTAACTGTGGTAGGACCACGCAAGTGTTCGCTGTTGCACGAATAGGCAGGTCCATCAGGGTAACTACCACGACCTCACAGAAGACCGGCGTAAAGTGGTGGAGTCATACTTCTGCGTTTCGTCTGGTGAGTGAGGTAGCCGGGGTCCACTTTATTAAAAGATGGCAACGCATTTGCAACCCTACGGCTGTTGCAAATGTTCATGGGCCGCGGTAATTACTTAACATCAGGTGAACCGCCAGCTCGTTTCCCACTTCCTCACAAAAAAAAACCCATATCCGAAACAACTATTCGCGGGTAAGACAAATAGTTGTTTCGCTTGGGAACCGAACCCACGATACCTAAGTCTTGGCAATTGCACCACGAAGTTATGATAGTTATGTGACGCAATAATAGATTTGGTCCAATGTACGATTTTTAAAATTTCAAAGCTAAATTCCTCTCATCCTACAATGTTTCACGATATACAATTTTTATACGCAATGAAATCTACGCTAACTTCATTGTATTGTCGTAGTTTTAAAACTTCTTCAAGAAGGGGGAAGTACTCAATTTGATTTATATTTTATCCTGTACTTGCTATACAAACAGCATTAGTGATACTTTATGGATTGATCTTAAGATGTTGTACGTATTAAAATCACAGCCTTTGAGGACTGTGTGGTAAGAATAACTTCTGCAGACTCGTCATCTTTATCAGCCTATATCACCTTTATTAGTCCATTGCAAGTCATTCGTTCTCAGTGTAATTTATTCTAACATTAAGCGTTCAGTCCCCACTTATCTACAAATATGTATAATATAAAAATAACTCTTATGTTTGCGAAATCACATAGAAAATACGAGACAAAAAAAACAGCAGAGAGTGTCAAGATTTAAAAGTTAATCCGGAACCAAAACAAATGTAAAAAATGGACCGCCCCTATAAAAATTTGGCGTACTTTAATTTTATCGGCGTTGGTACAGCTAACTGATATTTGCTTGTCTCTTTATATTCGCAGCTAACCCACTCAATTGGCTTCGCTTTAAAACATGAATTGTATTTTTTATCCCCGTAAAAATAAATGTGCTTTCGCGAAAGATAACGGCTTTTTGACTGTTATAACCGATGATGTTTTAATAAAGATGACGCGTGTCCATACTACGCGACGCTTAAAAAATTGTTTCACTTTACATTATTCGTTTTACGATGGTAGGGCCACGCAGCAGCTGTTGCATGAATAGGCAGACTCGTCCGGGTAAGTACCACGACCTCACAGAAGACCGGCGCGTTTCTTCTGGTGAGTGAGGTGGCCGGAGCCCAATTTTCAAAAGGTTTTCAACGCATCTGTAACCCTCGGGCGTAGCAGATGTCTGTGGGCGGCGGTATTCACTTATCAGGTGAACCGTCCGTCTGCTCGCTTGACAACTTTTCGCATAAAAAAAACATTATATGTAAGTGACAGATGATATAGAACATATGATACGGAAAGAGATATCAGTCCATAGAATTGCGAGTAATTACACTTACAATTGGCGCAGTTTGAGTGCCTCAGTTTCGGTGTGGTAGTATCATATCTACCTCGTATTTGTATATATTATCATTGGTTAATGTAACACAAATTAATGTAACGCTCTGCGCTTACATTTAGTCGATTATTTAGTTAAAGTTACGAAATAATGTAAATTAAAGTAACAGATTATAAATGATGCATTGTTGGGTAAAGGTCGCCTCTGTACAGTAATATCCTACATGGGACATAGTCCACTTATATATGCTCCGTTGCTGGGTTAAGTTCGCCTCTGTCAATGCAGTAATACTCTACATTGAGTACTACAGTAATACTCTACAAAGTACACCGCCCGAACTCACCGCTGATTTGCGGAGTTCACGACTAATTTTCTTTATTACAACTAATCAATTAAGTAATATTACTTTATTAAAAACATATTAGGATTGTTCCGTGACGTTATTCGTCAAAGATATTATGTGATAAATCAGCACTTAACAAGTTAAAATTAACAATTTCTTTAATGACGGCACCTAGATTTGTACTCGGGTTGCTGAATTACATGCTAAAGGACACTGAACTCATTACGCTATTACGCTCTATTACGCTTCGTTAAACGAAATAAATTCATTGAAATCAAGTGTTTCAAACAAGTGAAATTTTAATCAAAGTGATTTATTTGTTCCGTTACAGTCCAATAGATTTGTCTTAATACATATTAAAGAAAATTTCGATTAAAATGTAATCACGCGCCTGGTCCGTTGGATAAGCCGTTTGTGTCTAAACATGATTCCCGGCCGACTTGTTTAGTACATTAAATTACATTAAACTACAACAAAATTAGGGAAAAAACCGACCAAGTGCGAGTCGGACTCGCGCACGAAGGGTTCCGTACGGTTATGTATAAAAACAGCAACACGCTTCTATGTATTTCCGGAATATGACGAAAAATATTTGATTAATTAACTCATTATACCGTTTTAAATGAGTTATATTGAAATTGCGCTTAGTAGCGTGGTAAGTCACTGAATTTATCATTCATGTATGACAATGGTTAAATAAGTATGTATGAAGTAAGACTGTGTTTGTCATGTTAAAACTGCTTTCCGAACCAGTGGTAATTTACTTACGAGCTTGTGTTTTAATTTTTATGTAAAATCCGACGTCTCATAAGAGCTCGAAAGCGTCTATTTGAATAAAGATATTCTGAATTTGAATTTGTATTTAAGGTAACTTATTTTAATGAATAACGTCTCCTTCGCTATCTTTCATTTAAATTAATTGTCGATAGATGGCATTATTATACGTGTTTTAACACGCCATCGTGCCTATAGACGTTTCCACTTCAAAAATTAAAAGAAGAAAATAGCTTTGACCCATTTAGCTGTGCAAAGTGAACAACGATCCGTTTACCTTGCGTCGACCGCCAACTACTGTGACGTCACACTACACCTGAGATCACTCCGGACCTGCCCGGATCCGCTTCAGACACATATCTTCTTGATATATGTTGAGTCATAAATGCATATTCATTCCATCATATGCCATAGAGATATTTAACATTGTTTACGTATCGGACAATCTCAATAACTTTTTAGTTTTTTTTAATATGAGAAGGTGGTAAGCGAGCTGGCGGTTCACCTGATGTTAAGTGATAACCACCGCCCATTATCATTTGCAATACCTGTAGGGTCGTAGATGCGTTGCCACCTTTTATTATAGCCGGCCTCGGCTACCTCACTTACCAGACGAAACGCAGAAGTATGACACGTCTACAGCACCGTTGGTCTTCAGCGAGGTCATGGTACTTGCTATTCGTGCTATAACGAAGACTGGCCTAGCCGTAGTCATTGTTTCATCTCGTACATTTCCCCATCCAATATTGGCCACCGTGCCTTTAAAGTTTTCATTTTAAAAATTAAAAGAAAGAAAATAGCATCGATTAGCTGTGAAAGCGAAAAACTCTCTGTTCACCTTGCGTTGGCCACTAAACTGTGACTTCACCCCACTAAATTAACAGCCTGTACAGGTCCCACTGCTGCACAAAGGTCTCCTCTATACAGAGGGTATCAGGGCATAGTCCACCACGCGGCCCCACTGCGGATTGG